CCTAAAGAGCTTTAACTTCACCTTTAATGATTTTATAAAATTCCTGAAGAAATGCACATCAAATAGCAATATGCAAGATTTACTTGAAAACAGAATCTTAATCTATTCTTGTTTACTGTGCAGTTACTGCAGTATGAAGAATCTACTGGTTCTGGAAAAAAAAAACTTACATATCCTCTTGATTGTTTACTAGAACACCACCCAAATCTGCAACCTCTCCAAGAGCTGCTCTCCATTTTTGGACCTTATCCATCCACTCCCTCTTTCCTTCATCACTTTCAGCTTCAATTTGCCTCTCATATCTCGTAAATGCTTCTGCAAAACTCTTTTTCTGATCTCTAACTTCAGAAGGATCCACATGGTAGAAGACAGGAAGAATTGCATGCCCTTTTGTCCTCTTATGTTCAAGGATTTTAACAAGTTCATCAAGGCACCATGTTGAAGTAGCATAGTTCTTCGAGAGGATAATTATTGAACTCCTCGAATTTATAATTGCATTCTCTAATTCTGTCTTAATATTTTCCCCTCTCTCAATCTCATTGTCATCCTTAAATGTACACCACCCTGCACCTACCAAAGCTGCATAAAGAGTGTCAGTAAAAGTCTTGCGGGTGTCTTCACCTCTGAAACTCAAGAACACATGATAAATGGATGGAGAAACAAAGGAGGAAGATGTTTGTTGTCTTTCAGAACCCATCAGATCAAGTTTACCAATCAATTCGGATACACAATTACACAATGCTTTAATAGCCAATATATGACACAAGGACAAGAAAAATGCAGACTAGAGAAAGCTAGTATTAGGCTAGTTCTCTTATCTGCTAATAAATTAATAAGCTGATTATTTATTTAAGCCTTGGATCAATGAACACAAGTCCGAATTCTGACTCAACGTTCACTAACTTCTGTCTTTACCACTAATAATGAATTAAATTAACCAAATGCGGTCCATGAATCTATGCAGATTGATTATGAAAAAGATAAAAGGGACCAACTGCTTAATTAACTAATCCTGTTGATTAGTTTATTCAGAAATCTACAAAAATATGGACTCATTAGTTGCACCGGCAAATATTCTTTCTGCAAAGAGCATCTAATGCTACATAATAAATAAAACTGAATTAAGAAAATTGCACTTCATGTTAAATTATGCATTTTGGTTGGCATAATGAAACAAATAAGATTATTTCAACGACTTACCAATTATCATTAAAAAAAAAAAAAAGATGATTTGAAGATTGATCGCATAATGGTGTAAGAAGAAACCCTGATTATTCTATACATACATACATACATACCCTGAAATATGATAGAATCGCCATTTCTGTTGTTGCTGCAAAGTGACAATCCATGGCTTCCGACGATTTCTGATTTTTCCGTCTGGACCTAATACAATTTGAGGTCTGAGGAGAGAAGGCCCAAAATAGTGCTCATTTTTTGGGTTAATACTCAAAATCATCTTGAATTTTCACAAGAAGCACTAATACTTTCTTATGTTTACAATATTGGTACACTTTTGGTCCTTCCCTAAACTTTCGCCAATTTTTTAACATTACTTTTGTCCATAATTTTATGTAAAGAATGTCCCATCGTCTTTTTATATATTTAATAGAAATAATAACTCTATGTGAGAAAAGATGAGAAGAAGAACACTTTGTTCTGTTCAGTAGAAATATTACTGCAGCTAAACTAAGAACATTTTAACATATGGCATTGCAAGAAAAGAAAAATTTGTACTATTACACGTGAAATCGTCGTGATGAACCTCTCGACTTTACCTGCAATACGATTGTTACTAAACAAAACAAGGTGTTTTTCTTCTCACAATCTCTTACGTGGAGTCATTATTTCTACTAAATATATAAAATGATGATTAAACATTCCATACATAAATTATGAATAAAATCAATGTTAAAAAATAGGCAAAATTTTGAAGGAGGACCAAAAGTGTATCAATATTGCAAATATGAGGGACTATTAATGCTTCATGTGAAACTTCAAGGATGACTTTGAGTCATAACCCAAAGATAAGGGACTATTTTGGGCCTTTTCTCGTCTGAGGATGCCAACAATTATATGGGTCAAAATAGACTCACGGGTTATTTCAAGTTTTTTTTTTTTTTTGTTTTCCATCCGGTATCCGGTACCCACATTGAAGCCTTAAGCCCGACTAAATCTGGATTCGCGCCGGGAAGTCCCACATTGTTTGTGTTGGTGTAATATACCACAAAATACAATAAATTACTGTTGAAAATAAAATGACAAAAATGAATAAACAAATTTTTAAGCTGAGACACAGATATCTTGCTCTCTTTAAGGAGATTCAAGTCCACTGTGGCATAATCTACATCAATCCAACAATAATATTCTTGACTTGTCTCCTCCAGAGTACAACAGCCCAACAACGTCGTACAACTCAAGCAACTCCGGATTTAGTTAAAGAGTCCAAAGCTCCACATAAGAACACTTTCCTTCAACATATAAATATTCTCTTTTGTATAGTGAATATAGTTGAAGACTTAGAATATTTTCTTTGTCTCAACTCTCTTTTTCACTACACTAACCTCAATATAAACTTCTCATATTTCTTACATTTTTTTTCTTCTGAAAATACATTAATACTACTTATAAGTCAATTTAACTACATATCAATCTAATTTTTAATGTTATGAAATGAATTGAATTTTAAAATGAATTATACTAATAAATGAGTGGTTAACTTAAATGAATTGGACAAATTATATATTTATGCACTAATTTTACCATCTATACTCATATGGACGTCGGTATGATTATATATTTGAGTAAATATAAATATCTAAATAACTTATAAATTACAATTTTGACTCTATCAGTATTTTTAATTTGATGAATAATTTTATTATTGTATTTCTAATATTATTTCAAAATTTTCTTTCCAAAATAGAACTTCTTATAAGATTAATTTGAGGTAAAGACACTGGTGCAACTATATATGTTTTTCATGTATGAACAGATCAGAAATATTGTCATTAGACTTTCCAAATATATCGATAAATAATACTACTTAAAAACTACTTTCAAAACCAAAGCTAATATAACTTGACATAAATTATAATATGAAAAACAAAAAACCTAGTTAATTTCTAGTTCCTATACAAAAAGAAAATCCTATTGAACTAAAGTCACGGATAGATCTGCTGACATCGAGTGATGCGACTAAGAAATCTTCCTTTTTGTTGAATTTTGGAACGAATTTTCTGAGAGCTCCGACGAATTCAGGATCAAATTTTCCACTCAAACAATATTCCGACGAAACAAGTCTCTGCATTCAAATTAACAGTAGTACTACTACTTTGTATTATTTCAGGCCGTTTTGGACTAAAATAATGCTTCACGCATAACTCTGTAAGTGACAGCTTATCCTCGTTGTCGACATTGCCATTGCCATTGCTTGGGATCACAGTGAGGAGGATAAATATCGCAGAAATTACGAGTATATGAACGAGGATCATAAATATGAACTTTCTTCCATTGTTTAGATTAGGGCCATTCCTCCTGCTACTTTCACAGAACCTGACTCAAATATGTAAGCTGTGTTTTCTAGAATTCAAATGAAAAATCCTAATTTCGTCTCTGGTATTTTTGTTAGGTTTTACAACGTAATTTACTAGAAGTAGGATTTTGAAGGGAACAGTTAATCCCCAATATGGATAACTTCAAATTGCTGACTTTGCTAAGTAGATCAACCTACCCAAAACGGAATCTGGGCCATCATGGCCAGGTTCATCTATCCGGCCCATTGGTTAGGTGCAAGGAGCGGTCAATATTCACGGGGTCACTCGCAAAAATGTCCATTTTGGGGTGGTCAGTCGAAAATATCCCTGACATCAATATAACAAATAATTTTCACTCAGTATAAACTTATTATTTTGTATCATAATATACCACAAGTTATTATTGCATAAGGCACAACAAGTTATGTCTTACTACATAACTTAAATTCGTACAAAACTTATGTAGTTCAGTTTCAGAATCCACAAGTTATGTCGTAAGAGGCATAACTTAATTCTTACAAAATTTATGGCCTAAGAGGCAAGCAAAAGTTTTCTAAATTTATGATGAGCGAATTAATGGCCTATACAACTTATGCGGCATAACTTAATTGCTAAGGGACTTATGCTGATGTAAGGATTACTTTGATACACAAATTTTCATTAAATGAGCAACTAGGGCAAAACTTAAAAACCATAAGATAACTTTCTTAGTCAATGACAAATCTACACTCCCCTTACTCTATTTAACAACAGATTAGAAAGTTGACAATGTTGTCCAGAAATTAACTATCAAGATTCAAGAATAAATGGAGAGGTGATAGACACCTGAACTTAGCTCATAAGGAGACAAATCTCCACCAATTGCATGCTGTAGTGGATAGGAAAGACGGCGACATCCTTCTGCATTAGATAGGGTGTCTTCCTCTTCCTCACTTTGTTCGCTGCATACAAGATATACACCAAATTTCTTAACTAAGCAACCCATGCTTACTGAAACAACAACTTGATCTCCTCTTTCTAGCTGGTTTCCAAACTTCCAATGACTAAACCATAGCATTGGATTACCAGGACCTGCAATTCCAAAAATTGTTGGACCATAAATCCATTTGATTCCCTTGGTCTTATTGCTCACTTTTATGAAGTGTCTTTCACTGAAACATTCTTCAAGACATTCTGCATAAGCAACACATATCTTTAATCCTTGGATCTTAGCATTAGGAAGTGGAGGCACAGTGAAATCTATTGAGCTCCCTGTGCTTATATTGCTGAACTCGGTAGGAACCTTGACTCCAGGAATGTAAATGTTGTGTATACCAAACTCGTATAGTCCCTGAAGGGGACCTTTGCTTTTTGTTGAGGACAGATAGTTGCAAAGTTCCACATCTACTGCTCTGACCTCCAAATTATCTAGGCAAGACATATCGAGGATATCATCAATGTCTCTAATAGGATCTAGCTTGAATACTCCCTGAACCTCAACCAGTTTTTCACAATTCTCTAAGTGCAAGTCAAGTGACCTCATGAAATTGGGTAAATTTGTTACTTTGTTCAGTGATCTGCAGTTACTTGCATTCAATATTTGTAAGCTCAACGGAAGCTCAGGGATCCACTGGAGCCTTGTGCAGTCGGCTAACTGAAGGGACTGCAGCATAGTTAGGCTCTTCAGGCTCTCCGGCAGGGTGGAAATGGGATTTCCTCTTAGACTCAGATATTTCAAGGAGGATAGGACAGAAAGGTCGTAGGGAATAAGAGTGTCGGTCAGATTGCTATGTGAAATATCCAAACTTTGTAAGGTGATCTGGAAGATATCTGACATTGAACCTGCTGACTTTGGCCACAGTGACATCCAAGACCAGAAGATTGAATAGACTGATTTAGCAGACAGAGAGTCGCTGCATATTGGCTTTTCAGCCTTAGAGGAAAATTGATCTCTGTTAGTCACATCCCGTGTAAGTGCTTGCAAAAACTTACCATTTCTCATAATCCTGGAAAGCTCCAGCTTTGAGCACCCACAGAGTGTTAGTTCTTGTAAGGATTTGATTTCCCAAATTTTCCTTGGAAGCTTCTTAAGGCTCTCGCATCCCTTCAGATTTAAGACAAGAAGTTTATGGAGTCTTCCAATGGACTCATGGACCTTAACCAAATTTATGCAATCTTCAAGAATCACTCTTTCTAGATTCGGCATTCCAGAGAAATCAGGGGTCTTCATGAGACTGTGTGAGTGACCAAGATCAAGTATCTTCAATGATCGTAGAGACTGAGCAAAAATAGGTAAAGAGAGAGTCAGTGAAGAAAAATATCAAGTCTGCCAGAACACAATCAGCCACAAAATCAGAAACGAGTGGAAGTAAGCAAACCTTTGCTCCCTCCCAGGTTTGATGCAAGTTGCTATTGTTCATTTCAAGAACTACAAGATTTTCATGAGGAAAGCCATTTGGGAAGGATGTTGATTGGAATCGTCCATACCAGCGCATCCATCTTAATTTCTTTGGAAATCCTTCAAAGGTGCCAGAAAGCTGGACATTCTCAAGCTCAAGATATCTCAATTCTTGCATTTTAGAAAATGCTTTAGCACTCATTCCAGCTTCATTTTGTACAGTCTGTGATCTTGCCAAAACAGAATTCCCCAGACCCCAAGAGAGGCATCCTACGCGAAGCCTCTTTGATGAATTTTTCTTGAGAGTCAATGTTGAAGTGCTCTGTGAATCATTGAAGTAAGGTCTTTTTGATATACTTTCATGTCTGTCTGGTTTGCTTTCATCTGATCCACACATTTTAAGAACAAGCCCTTCAATAGATTCTGTAACCTGACATGGAAAGTAACGTTGAAGTGAAAATGAGCTCCAGGAAAAATAACGAAATTGGTACAGGAGGAATGAGCCTTACAGTTTCTTCATGCAGTATACTAAGGGCATCCTTGTGATGCCAGATTCTGCTGCGTTTACCAGGTTCAATGGGTGATTCTCGGCAGATGACCTCTTTACCCATTTCCTGTAGTAACTGATGCATCATTAGCTTGTTATCAGGAGTCACTGTCAGGAGATATCTATCAATGAGATTCTGTATTTCAGCAGTAGCATGGAAACCACATTCATCCAGAACTTTGATTGTATAATCTTTGTCCTTCCCGACAAAAAAGCAAGCAATATCAAGAAATACATTTTTATCATGATCATCTGGCAAAGCTTCATAGCTTAGTTCAAGAACTTTATGGTTATGGCATTCAGAATATCTTTCTAATTTCTGTATTGCACCTTCCCACATATCTATACTTCCACCACGTAGCGAAGAGGCTAGAACCTGAAGAGCTAAAGGAAGCCCTCGACAATGTTTAACTATCTGCTTGGAGTGTTTCATGTACTCCTTGACGGGATGGTCTTGACCAAAAGTATGCAAGCTGAAGAGCTTAAGCGCCTCATAATTGTTCATCCTCTTGGTTTCATACATCACACAAGCATCAAGAGGGTTTAGCAAGTGTTCGTTTGTAGTTGTTATAATAACTTTACTCCCTGGAGGAATCCACTCTCTTGAATCAAGAAGTCCTTTCAGTTGGTTCAAATCATCAACATCATCAAGAACAAGAAGAAACTTTTTGTGGACTAAACATTCTTTGATCGTGGAAGCTCCTCTATCAATATCATTTAGATCAATCTTATCCTCTTTCAAAAGATCAGAAAGAAGATTTTTCTGTAGGTTAATCAGACCACAGCTTTCTTTTGCAATTTCTCTAATATCTCCAAGAAATCTGCTGCATTGAAATCTGTCACAATGTAGGTTAAAAAGAGCTTTGGCAATGGTTGTTTTCCCTATTCCAGGTTCTCCATAAATCATCAATGTGCGAGAATTAGTCGAGCTATCTTGTAACCAGAAATTAATCTCTTTTACACGGGAGTATATTCCAACTGGATATGGGGCGAAACTCAAAACTTTACGAGACAGCTTACCCCAAATGTCCTCAACAATTTCTTGAATAAACTTCAGCTCATCCCTGCAAGAAGAAAAGGACCACTTAGATAGATAGCACTGGTTATAATGCAAATTATGTCGCAACTGAACAAGATGGAAGTTGAATGTCCATAAACAACCCTGATGAGACAAATGTTGGAAAACAACAGAATATAAGAAATATACAAAAACATTTTAGACAATGCAGAGCCAAAATAAATTTGATTAAACTTTACCCGTCTTCTAGAACTATCCCTGCCATATTTGCAACCTCTGTGAGAGATGATCTCCATATCTTTATCTTTGCTATGTGCTCATTCCTTCTTTCAACCTTCTTCGCCATGATCTGCTCTTCGTAATTATGAAATGCTTTCGCATACGACTCTCTCTGCTTTCTAATATGGGATGGATCTACACGATAGAACACAGGTAGAATCATATGACCAGCACTTTGCTTCCTTTCAAGGATGTTCACAAGTTCATCTAGGCACCTTCTAGAATATCCATAATCTTCCGTGAATACAATTATTGAAATCCTCGATTCTTTGACTGCCTTTTGCAATTCTGATCCAACAATCTTTCCTTTTCTAGCTTCACTGTGTCTCTTGAATGTTTGAATACCAACATCAGTCAATGCAGTGTGTAGGATATTGATAAAGTTCACGCTGATCTCTTTGCCTCTATAACTCAAGTAGACATGATAAGAGCATCTAGGCCTGGAGACTGATGCCTTTTCAACTCTCATCATGAATATAGATCAAAGCTCTATATGAAGATGCTCTTTAATCTGCAAAGTTCATAAAAAAAAAGGTATATAAGTTACTTGAATTATGTTTTCTTATACAACAATAAACCCAGCGTGATCCCGCAAGTGGGGTCTGAGGAAGGTAGAATGTACGCAGACCTTACCCTAGCTTTGACAAGGTAGAGAAATTGTTTACGAAAGACCATCGGCTGAACAAACAGTGAAAAGAGGCAATAGCAACAACAGAAACAACAACAAAATAATAAGATACCAAGGAGAAACAACAAAGTAGTGATATAAAACTAACTATTTGAATTGGAAGATGGGAAGTGGTTATCACGGCAATTTTTTAATTTTTTTTTTAAGGTTTAGATAGGTGGATCTATTTATTCATAACACAGTTCCTTGATGCTTCTAGCATATATAACTTTGGTAGTAAACATATCATGTATTATCTTTAAAAAAAATAAAATGAAGTAGTCAAATCTTGTATCAGCTAACTCCAAATTACAATATCCAGACACTTGATTTGACTACAAAATGGTTTTCATCAACATAGGTCATTTACAATGCATAACTACTGATTACTTTTAATGCTGGTTTCCATTCCTCCAAACAAACCAGCGTGGCTCTAACATATATCAAGCAATCAACAGAACAAGTTCAATTCAGGTTCAGTTTCTCCCTAAAACTCAAAATATGAAGTAACAGTATTCCTGATTTTACTCTAATTGTCTGCAGTGAAATCACAAAATAGAAAGAATTTTTGGGAAAAAATAGAAAAGAACTAACCTTGTTTTGTATATGATACTGCGATTATCAACCAGGATTAAGCTTAAGTAATTGAATTCTTGGATGGTTATTATGCACAGGCGAAGCACTGCACAAGAAGAACCCCATCGGAAATTCAAACGAAGATGCACAGCGCTTATCTTCCCCAAGTCAACCCATGTAATATATTTTTAAAACAGATTAGATTATTTTCACACAAAGTGAAAGTTGGAAAAACTTTATTTATATGACATTTGGTAATCCGCCTATATTTTAATGGGTTGGTGAGTGTTTTTTTACATGGGTAAAATATGGTTTGATACCCATAGTCAATCCATAAAAATATGGGTAAAGTATGAATTAATCAAATGGGTTAAGCTTCTAATTTTTATTTACTATAAATTCATGATATTACTAAAAAAATTATAATTTCTCTTGCCTTTTATGTTCTTCTATAGAACTAATTATTTTTCACTATAATTGAAAAGGTAAAGTCTTTGGCCCTCCAAAAATATATATTTTAAAGGGAAAATGCATAAGTACCCCCCCAGCCTATGCCCGAAATCCCAGAGACACACCTAACCTTTACTAAGGTCCTATTACCCCCCCGAACTTATTTTTTAATTAATTTTCTACCCCTTTTGGTCCTACGTGGCACTATTCTTGTGGGCCCAGCACGTGTTGACAAATTTTTCAAAATAGTGCCACGTAGGACCAAAAGGGGTAGAAAATTAATTAAAAAATAAGTTTGGGGGGGTAATAGGACCTTAGTAAAGGTTAGGTGTGTCTCAGGGATTTTGGGTATAGGCTGGGGGTACTTATGCATTTTCCCTATTTTAAATGTAGATTTATTTTGTTACTTATAATTATATTTTTTTATTTATTTAATTTTATATTGGATAATAAATACATAGTGTAAAATAAGCAAATCATGTATTAGAATTGACATTGCTTAAAGTGCATTAAGCATGTTTTAGTCCTAAAATGCAAATATTCATTTGCTTTGAAATTAAAAGTACTTTCCCCTTGTTATTACATAATTTTATTTTATATTGAAAAGTTATAGGATTTTTTTTTTACTTTTATGATACAATAAAACTAAATGAAGCATTTTCAACATTTTCCATCTAAAAATAGATTGAAATATTTTCTACGTGTTGAATTCTTAAGTAGAGTACTACTTACTCATGAAAATATGGGTAAATATGGGCAAACTAGTATTTAACCCAACTCATTTCTTACCCAATCTATTTTTATCCATATCAAATATGGGTGGGTTGAATTATTACCCATTTTATGTTGATCCATTTTCATCCGCTCAAATTTTACCCAACTCGCCCATTTACCACCACAAGCAGAAGAATTTTATATTTTTGGATAAATAAAATTTGTGTTCATATTTTATGTTACATAATTAATATTTGTTGTGTGAGTTGTATAATAATTTTTTCTTCGCAGTAATAAACTTGAGTGCAACCCCTATAATAATCTTTATATTATTTCATTGACGCGTTTTGAATCAAATCTTTACTCTTTTTTTTCTTTCTGATTGGCATACTTCACAATTGAGTACAACTGCCTCCTTTAATTAATCATTTATGGAGTTTACGTGGCGGCTCCCTTAAGTGAGTTCATCTAATAGTAATAAATTAATTTTTTAAGATCAAATTATTAACGTCGAAGACATAAATCAAATTATCAACTGAAAGCATCTTTTGTTTAGTTTCAAGGACATTCTTTATGACTCTTTTCTGAAAAAGAATAGCAAAAAATAATAATTTGTTGTATACAGAAATTTTATCTCAATCGGTTTATAATCATAGTTAACATATCACAATAAACGGTAAACATAATTTTACTATAAAAGAAATCCTTGTTTAGTACATCCAATAACAAATATATCAATGAAACCAGTCCATAAGACTAGATCATGATATTTATTTATGATTTTTTAAATCCAAAACATAAGCACACATAATATATAGCGCCAAATCAAAGTATTATTTAATTTAGTTGTTGTCCCACCAGAATTGTGATTGAAGATAATCGACAACTTTCTTGTCAATTTGGAATGCTTTTGCAAGAACATCATCACTGATTGGTGGATCTGAGCCAAATACTGCATTCGCAATAGTGATGACTCCTGGATTTTGGCTACTAAGTCCAGCAAATGCAACTGCATTAGTCTTTCCCACATTAAATTGAAAATGAATGAGACCTACTGGGAAAACAAACACATCTCCAGGATGTAGGATTTTGGTAAAGAGCTTATTCTTCATATTTGGACCAGGGTTTGAAAGGACAAATCCAACGTAGAGTGTACCCTCAAAGAGGGCAAGAACTTCAGTTCCTCGAGGGTGAGTATGAGGTGGGTTGAGACCGTATGGTGCAAAATCAATACGAGCTAAAGAAATGCCCAAAGTGTTGAGTCCTGCCAAGTTATTGACATTCACTGCAGTTACAGCAGATCCAAGTTGATTTGAAGTATTTCCGGCCATGTTCAGTCCGGGTCTGAAGAAGTCATCAGCAGTGACATCCATTGGATTCTTGCAAAATTTTCCATTCACGAAAACTACATATAGAAATCACAATTAGTAAATGAAAATAGCAAAAAAAAAAATAGCCATGATTAACTTAAGTATCAAATTATGTGTTTTAATAATTAATTACCGGCATTCATAGAGTCATTAACAGCAACACAAAAGTCTTGTAAAGGACTAGGATCAGATGCATGGCTTATTGAAGTAACCACAGCCAATATGGCAATGATTAATACAAAGTACTTAAGAGCCATCACTAATTAGAAACTTTATATATGTAGTATATATTGTAACAATTTGTTTGGTGTGAGAAATTTGGTAAGAGAGGCATGCCTATTTATAGATGAAAAAAATGTTTGAATTAGTCATCAAATTGATTAAATAAACTTCTCCTAGACAAAAAGTTTGGATTAGGTTTTCTACGTGTACAATAATAATTTACCAAGTCATAAATGGTGAATATTTGAGCATTTGAGTCGTGATTTTTCATCAACAACTATATAGTAAAGACTAATTTAAGACTTAAATCATATTTTTCGAGAACGTACAAACAGTTTATAACCACTATAAATACTTAATCATATTTATCAAGGATTAAACCAATTAAAATCTCGAATCGATTGGGACAGTCATGAAAATGATGTGGAAAAAAACGATTAGGATTGAGATATGAATTATGATAGAAGCTTTCCAAGCATAGAAATAACTCGGAGCGTCAAATATGGCTCAAAAATTGATAGCCAAAATTTTATGTGTTTGTCATAGGAACATTTTGTACGTATTTGGTTGATTCTTTGCCCGCCCAATATATAACTTGATCATTTTTAAAGTGATTTTTATCTTAAAAAAATAGATAATTTTTGCCTAGGACAACCAAATTATTTTTAAATGTTAAATATTGTTATGGGTGTATTAAAATCAATTACTATAAAAGTTAAAAAGTAATAATATTGAAACAAACGAGACTATTATAGAGATATCTGACTTTATTAGTAGTAGGAATTAAGAGAAACACTCACAAGTTGAGTCAATACTCAATACATAGGTGATATTATCGCATTGTGGTCACAAAGACAGATTTAAGAGTTAAATTTGAATGGTTTCAACATCTAAGATTTTCAGGTTCAAATTCAATATTTGTTGAGATTTAATCAAAAAGATAATTATATATCTATTATTACTCTGTGTCAAAAGTTATGAATTCAGATGAATCATTTATAGATATCAATTTGGCAGAGTGAAATATGAGATAAAGAGGAATTATAATAGTAAAAGATAATTTCCTTTTAATTTTTTCCTAATACTGAGTGGAGAGTACTGACCATTTCCAATGGCCCAGGGAGGATTAATCAGTCTCTGTAGTTGTTGAAGAGGGGTTCAGGATTTGGGTTTATTATAAACTAATCATCAAACACTTGGTAATTAAGAAGCTACCTTAATTAAGTGCTAAATGGACAAAAAAAAATTGGCCAGAAAAATTAAAAAATTATAATATATTTTTTATTTTAAAACAAATTGATCTTTTTTTCATTTTTTAATTAAAAGGTATTAAAGTTAAAAGGGTAAAAATGTTTAAAAAGGTAAAATAACATAGATAAAATATTATTCTGGCCAAATTCTAGCAAAAAAGATTTTTCCTATTAATTGTAGGGTTAACATGAGAAATTTTTAATTAATTTTGTCTTGATTTGATAAATGGACAAATGATTTGGAACAACTATTAATTTATAGTAATTAGATGAATAACTATATGGGATGGAGATAATAATTCTTAATATGTATATAAATTATTATTTCGTCTTGAATTTTTAGTTTTACAATTATTGTAGAATAATTTTTTTTTATAAAGCCACACTTACCTTAAGACGAAGAGATCTATAAATTAATTATCTAGCTAATTATGACTTTGGCCCTGAAATTGTTTGTTAATTACCTAGCACTGCATTTGACCATAGTCCAGGGACTTTCGTGTTGCATTAAACTCGTATTAATGACTCCAGAGCATCCGGTAAATGCTTAATTATTGTTTTCTTCCATATTAAATTCTCTGTCATACTTTTTTTTTAAATTATCTTACATTATTTATTGTTTAGAAGTTTAAGATAAAATTAATTATTTTCTCTT